TGTATTGAGCCGCTTGAGGCTATCTTCTGCGGCATGCGTGGAGCGTCGGATTCAGTCCCCGCAGGACTCTTCCACTCTGCTTGAGGAATGTCACATTGCGTAGAGGAGGGCGTTGTGGTGTCGTCATCGTCGCTAGCATTAGTTTGGGCGTCGTGGCTGTGCGTGTCACTGTGGGCGCTCTCACCAGACAGCGCGTCAGTGTCAGGAGGGCGTTGTTGCATCGGCGTGGTTGCGTTCGTCATGCGACGAGGCATGCGCACGATCATCCGGAGCATCTGCCGTTGAGTCTTCCGCAACCGTTGTTCCAATTGTTTTGTATTGGTCCAAACTTCGCAACCATAAAGAAGCATAAGACAGCCCAAGACTGCCTCGGCCAAATTTGTTCTACGAGCATTGCGTGCAAACCACAAGAGGTCCTCAGACCATTCTCTGGTGGGTACCGAGGCAGGTTAGGAGGCTTCGAGTCTGCTTGAGGTCCTCCGAAAACCACTGGAAACCGCCTGTGACAAGTGAAACCAAAAGACACCCATGCGGCTACTCCCCGTAATTACCAATCGCCCCTTTCCGGGGTGCGTTCTGCTGAAAAGGCTCTCGAGGCGAATCCAGCGGTGGCGACGAGGGCCTCCTGCCGGAGGCCCGAAAAGGCGAAAACAAGAGAGTCGGGCAGCGGCACTGTTACCTCCACCTCCCCAGAACTTAGAAGAAGAAAAACGCCATACACAGAAACTGTTGGCGCTCCGCGCGGATTTCTTGGATCTGGGCTGGGCCCCCTCCGTGGAGCGCGGATCTCGCCAGGTGCGGCGCCAGAGGCGCCGTCGGGGGATCCCAGGCGCGGATCCAGGAAACCCGCGCGGATCGCCAAAAGTTTACGTTCATGGCGTTTTTCTTCGACCAGAACTGCCCGAAGATCTCTCGCCGAAAACCGCCCGAGACGCGACGGCAGCGTGCACGGTTTGCCCCGGGCCGTGGGCGACCCGAGAAGGAGGAGGAGGGGGAGGAGAGGGAGGGGGAGCAGGAGGAGGAGGAGGAGGAGGAGGAGGAGGATGTGGAGGAGGGGGAGGGGGGAGGGGGGGAGAAGATGGAGGAGGAGGAGGAGGAGAAGGAGGAGGAGGAGGGGGAGGAGGAAGAGGAGGAGGAGGATGTGGAGGGGGAGGAGGAGGAGGAGGAGTAGAAGATGCAGGAGGAGAGGGCGGAGGAGGAGGAGGAGGAGGAGGAGGACCTCCTCGGAGGAGATAGGAGGAGATAGGATCTCTCCGAAGAGCGCCCGAAAACCGCTGGAGACGCGACGGCGGCGGCGAGCGGCGCACGAGCGCCGGGCGCGCCCCTCGGCGCCGCCCCAGCCGGGCGGGGGGTGGGGCCAGCCCGCCGGGGGCGCGCCGGGCTGCGGCGGGCCTGTGGGCGCTGCGTCGCCCCTCTCGGTGGAGGGGGAGGAGGAGGGGGAGGAGGAGGGGGAGGAGGAGGAGGAGGAGGAGGAGGAGGAGGAGGAGGAGGAGGAAGCACCCAAGACGGCATGAGCCCATAAGCGGTGGAGCTCCGCGAGGATTTCTCATGCATCGGCGGCGGGCCCACCTGGCGTCGCCTCCGGCGCCGCCCCTGGCGCGCTCCGCGCACCAGGGAAGGGGACCCAGCGCCGATGCCAAAAAATCCGCGCGGAGCTCCAAAAGATGATGTTTATGCAGCTGCCTCTTCTCCCTGGGAAGGATCAGAGAGCCAACCCTACAAATGATCCACAGGACACACCTCCTGGAACCACTCGCTCCACTCATGCGCCGAAGGTGCGCCCAACGTCCGTCGACTTTGGTCGGTTTTGGGTCGAGCTTGGATCGAGCTAGAGTCGAGCTGGAGTCAAACCAGAGTCGAACAGATCGGTTAGGTGGGCCCCAGGAAAACGCCCCGGGGGTCCTCGCCGCCACCGTCCCGTCGCGAAGCATCACAACCCTAAACTCAGGTCGGGCGTGTCCCCCTACAGGCGGATTTTGGGTGAAGAAATATAAATACCCAAAAATACCCCAATCATGCCCAAAAATACAAAAAAATGTTCCCCTGATTATTTCGTGACTATTTCTGGATATTCCTCCTGTAGAGGGACAGGCCTGGTTTAACCCTAGATACCCGATGTGTGCTTGGTCTGTTTCAGGCCCGGGCGTGCTTGCTCGAATTCGGGCTCTGGGGCCCGTCAGTGGGCCCGGGGGCCGTGAAAAGTGGATCTGGCATAAAGCACTACACTTAGGTCGGGCCTGTCGCTCTACAGGGGGATTTGGGGCAACAAATGAAAAAGTACTCCAAACATACCCCCAACATGCTCAAAAACACAATCAGAACAAATAGTCCCCAGACTACTCTTTTACTATTTTGGGATATCCCCCCTGTAGAGGGAGAGGCCCGACGTAACACTACACCCAGGGCAGGGGCCGTTCCTCCTGCCTCCGGGGCCGCGCACGCGACAAAAAACGCACCGTCGGACGCCCGGGACCGCGTCGACAACCGTATACGCCAGCTGGCTCTGAAGGCTTTCCTCTTCATCTCGCTCGTCCTGCCCCTCCCCGGCGTGCTCTCTTGGTGGTCCCCAAACGTGGTGGTGAGAACACCCGGTGGTGAGTTTTGGGCGATTTGGGTAATGGTTTTCGAGCGCTGGCTGGCCCAGGATGCGCAAAACCTCGTGGCGACCGCGTGTCCCCAAACCCGGTGGTGACCCAGAATTATATCTTTGGGGAATCGGGGTCACCACCGGGTGTCTCACCACCTGGTTTGGAGACCACCAGCTCTCTCCCTCCCCCTTCGCGCTCCCCGTTCCTCACCGGCGGGGGCAGAGGCGCCGCCCAGGGGGGGGGGGGGGGAGCGACGCCGCTCCGAAGAGCACGCGCGGACCTCGCCTCGGAGGGCGGGGGCCCGGCGCCGAGAAAGAGCGCCGAGGAGGGCTCGATCGAGGAGGGGGTCGAGCAGGGGATCGACTGTGGGTCTGGTTCCCCCTGGGAACAGGGAACAGACTGTTCGCGGATCTGCTGGGTGCACCATGGTCGGAAGCTCCGGGGGAAAAAAACAAGTTCTGGGACGAGTCGATTCTGTATAGTCGATCTCCTGCTCGAGGGGGGGGGGAAAGGCCCGACAGCCTCCATCCCCGATCTTGCCCTTTGAGCAGGGACCGACCGTCCCGGCATGCCTATAGGCCCACCACGAAGTTCTCTTAGCGCCTCAACATGTTCTAAGAACAACGGCAGTGTGCTCAGAACAGAAGTCCGATGTGTTAGAACAGAGCAGCCCCAGCCAGAGATGTTCCGAGGACAGTTCGCGCAGGCCACAAAAGGTTCTTAGAGCCTGGTTTGCTGGGCCTGTAGTGCGAGGCGGGGATTTATCCACACTTCGCCGTGACAAAAGTTTCCTTTGAAAGGCAGAAAACCGAAATCACCAAATGAGGACCGTAGGGACGACCCCGGGATAATTGTTTCCCATGTTAAAAATCGATGGGATCATTCGGCCGGGATCTGGGAGAGGCCGGTATAATTATTTTTACATAAAAAACCAGGGGGTGGCTGATGCCATTTTGGCACGTCCACGGCTCCTCCAAATTTCAAAGGAACTTTCGTCACGCCGCTGTATCCACCGCCTGGGAACCGACGTCCTGGTGCCCCAGCGGGCGGTGGACATGGACATACTTCGTCCCCAGGGGGGGGGGCCGACCACGTCCACGTCCACGTCCATGGCCTTTTGGGTGCATTTCTGGTGTATTTTTCGATGGTTCGTCGAACATCCCCCTGTATGGGGGACACGCCCGACATAACACTGCTTGAGGCCTGGCGCCGCCGCGATCGGGGGCGCGCACCGCGGGGCCGCCTCCCCAGTCCATCGGGGGCCCGCCGGACGACGGCGTGCCCCAGGCGGCGGGCGGGTGCGCCCCCAGCGGCGGGTGTCCTCCGGCAGGGCGGGGGGGGGGTCCACGCTCCTCTCGAGGGAGCGCGGTCGCCATGCCGCAGGGACGGTTTTGATTTCAGCGCGAGGAGGGCGGGGAGGAGGAGGAGGAGGAGGAGGAGGAGGAGGAGGAGGAGGAGGAGGAGGAGGAGGGGGAGGAGGGGGAGGAGGGGGAGGAGGAGGAGGAGCGGGAGGAGGAGCGAGAGGAGGGGAAAGAGGAGGGGAAAGAGGAGGAGCAGAAGGGGCAGGAGGAGGGGAAGGAGGCGAAAGGTGCGCCTCAGGACGAGCATTGGGCGAGGATACATCGAGGATTTCTGATAGCTCTGGAACGCTCTGGAACAGACTTGTCCTCGTCCTGGCCCCGCCCGATCCTTCCTCGGCCTCCTCCTTAGCCACTGTGGCGCTCAAGACTAGGTGTTCCACGGGGGGCCGAGTGGATACCGCTGGTCTGCGGCTCGCTTCCACATCTCCCAGTCCAGCCGCGGAGCTAATAAGACCCCTCGCCTCTGGTCGCACTGCTGCGTCACGGCCGGAGTGCTGACAGAGAGCGCAAGCACTGGCACTGCAGGCCCTGTACAAATCCGCGGAGTGGGAAGAAGATCATCAAGTGGGGCAGCAATTCGGGGATGGATTGACCCCCCTTCAGTAAAACGTGGTTTAGTGAAAACGGCCCGAGGCCCAAACCTGGCGAGCGCAGCACTGGCACTGCAGGCCCTGTACAAATCCGCGGAGTGGGAAGAAGATCATTAAGTGGGGCAGCAATTCGGGGATGGACAGACCCCCCTTCAGAAAAACGTGGTTTAGTGAAAACGGCCCGAGGCCCAAACCTGGCCGGCGCAAGCCCCTCGAGAAGCGAAAACGGACAATTCACTAATCGACGTGTCACTGTTGGGGGTTATGTCCACCCCCGAGCAATCTCAAGTGCCACGGGTGCAGGCTGCACAAGAAGGACTGCTTCGGAGGTGTGCTCGTCTCCGACTTCCCAAGCCAACGCCTCTCGCGCAGACCGTGGGAGAGGGACGTTGGCGGCAGGGGATCCAGCTCGCAGACTGCCAAGTCCAAGATCGCGCGTGACCTGCAGGCGGCGCTCGCGGAGCCCTGCAGTCATTAGGCAGCATGAAGTCTGACACGGTCGGGTGTTGCTGGCAGTACCCCCCTGGCCCAAAGTACCCCTAGGATTCTCGGGGTGGCCCAGACGGCCTCCAGGGCACCCCTCACAAGGCCCAGAGGGCCCCAGAGGCTCCAACATGGAGCGGAAAGCCGGAAAGCTGGGGGCACCTTGCGCCAGGGGCACATGTAGCAACGCCCGAGGGCACGGTTTCCCCCGGGGCCGTAGGGGAGAAGGAGCAGGAAGTGGAGGAGAGGGATGGGGGAGGAAAAGATGGAGGAGGAGGAGGAGGAGCAGGAGGAGCAGGAGGAGCAAGAGGAGCAAGAGGAGCAGGAGGAGGAGGAGGAGTAAGAGGAGGAGAAGTAGTAGGAGGAGGACGGGGGCACCTTGGGCCAGGGGCACTTCTGGCAACACCGGGCACGGGGCGGGAGGCCGCACAGGTGAAGGACGATGGTGGCACCGGATCGAGCGAGGAGGCCAAGCTGGCGGCCGAGGTCAAGAAGGAGGAGGAGAAGGAGCAGGAGGAGGCGGAGGATGAGGAGGAGGAGGAGGAGCAGGAGCAGGAGGAGGAGGGAGGGAAACGTGGGCAGAGGAGAATCAGCACAAGCTCAGGGCCAAACTCGAAGGTGCCCAGGAGCGCCTCCTCAGCGCCGGACCGTTGCACACCCAGGCCCGCGCCCTCGGCAACCACTGTCAAGGCGGGAGCGGCGAAGGTCGAGAGAGCCAAGCCGGTGCTGGAGAAGGCCAGGCCGGCGCCCGACGAGGCGGTCGGGGCTCTGTCCGAGGCTCCCACCCACCTCAAAGAGCTCCTGCAGCAGCAGGCGCAGCTCGAGGGCGAGCTGAGTAAGGTGCAGGCCTAACTCGGCCACACTGACCCAGCATCAGAAGGGAGTGAGGCGCCTGTTGAGCATGGACCGACCGTCCCGGCATTCCTATAGTCCTACCACGACATGTTCTTAGAACCCAGAAATGTTCGAATTACGTAATAACAACAACAATGTTCTTAGAACATAGACCCGATGTGTTAAACAAAGACAGACTCCGCCGGAAATGTACTAAGAACATTTCGTGGAAACCACAAGAGGTTCTTAGAACATTGTTCGGTGGGGCTATAAGCGAGCCAGGACGCTTCGCCACTGCTTGAGGAAGGGAGTGAGGCGCCTGGCACCGCCACGGGGAAGCTCGAAGAAGCTGACCAGGGCGCTCACTGACGGCGGCAAAATCACTTCCGCCGGGCAGAACGGGCTGGCGGAAGGCCTCGGAGGTGACCATATCTCAGAAATAATGTCGAGAACCCGGAAAAGTGCCGAAAGAGTTTCGAAACAGTGTCGAACGAGTATCTCCCAGGGCCCGGCATGTGAAAACCTTCGAGTTTCGGTCCTTTCTTGGTGCTCGATTTGTTGTTCTACTGATACAGGCCAAAAGCAGCACAAGACTCAACGAGCTCCTCGCAGCCAAACGACGTCGGGCCGCGCCTGCTGTTCCAGGTGCTGTTGGCGGCGCGCACAATGGGGTGGAGGGAGGGGGGAGGGCTTCTTAGAAGAAGGCCGCTTCTTAGAAGGCGCCGGCCTCACATATGTAGATCAGGCACGCGCCTTCGAAGACGCAGGGGTGCTTCTAAGAAGCCCTCCACCCTCCCCCCACCCTGGAGGTGGGAAAGGGTGGTATAAGGGGTGTGGTGTTAATTTCATGTAAAGGTGACTCTGGCGATGTTATTCATCGCAGACAGCATCGCAAATTTCCACGATTGCGCGCGGCTGTTGATGGTTCTCCCCCTCTCTGCGCGGCTGGTGATGGCTCCCGACCGCTGCCGCTGCAGGACAATGCCGGGCCGGGCGGCAGGAGGAGGTGGCCAGCCTGCTCCGGCTCCGCCTGCTCGCCTCCTGAGCAGGAGCAAGAGGTTCAAACCGTCGAATGAGCTCAAGAAGGTCATGGATCGAGTTAAGTCGGGCCTGTCCTCCTACAGGGGGATTTTGGACCTAAACTTGACAATGGTCAAAAAATAATGACAGATAATTTATCACAAAGAGTCTCCAGAGTATTTGTTTTACTAAGTGTTGAATATTCCTCCTGTAGAGGGACAGGCCCGACTTAAGGATACAGGAAGCACAACCCAGCCCCAGAACCACCACCCCGACAAACGAAGCCGTTCATTAAACGCGCCCGAAGGAGGAACCGAACAGGGCAAGGCCGTTTAGTAAACGCCCGGGGCCGTTTAGGAACCGCCAATTGTCCAGTGGTGCGGGCGCTTCTTCCTCCCTTGAGAACTCAAGAAGGTCATGGAGTCCTTCAGTGAATTCATCGTTCCTTAGTTCACTTATCATGGTGACTGGTACGATGATGAAATATACGACGATGACAACGACACATGTAACGTCGTGGGGCTCTCTTGGGTGGCAGACTACGGCTTCGAGGGAGGCTGGGCGCCGGCACCGTCAAATGGCAAATCGGAAGCGGCTACGACTGGAAGCGCCGCTTTTCTCACACGTACATCGGTCACGTGCACGGCCCCACCCTTTCTGCAAGATCCAGTCCCCATTGCGGGCAGGCTAGTCGCTGTTCACATTCACTAGGGAGTCAAAGGAGGCTTGGTGGTGATGAGGATTTATCAGGTGGACTCAGTCAGACTGGACGAACACGTCATATCCTTTGGGTTCTTGGGCCATGCTTCGGGCCGCTGTCGGCAGCACATTACGACTGGATCGTCTGCGGCGACCTTAACATCAGGTCGGGCATGTCCCCCTACAGGCGGATTTTAAACGAAAAACCGAAAATACTTTGAAACATACTCCAAAGAATCGAAAAGTTTGGTGTCCGTTCCATGGGAGCCTGCGTGGCCCCCGGCACTGTCCAATTTGGACCTGATTTGGACCAGATTTGGAACACATTTGGACCGGATTTGGACCAGACTTGGACTCGATTCGTGGGGGCTAGGAAAACGAGGAGGTGGAGGGGGAACAGGAGGGGAGAGGAGGAGCAGGAGGATGGGCCAAATGTGGCCCCCACGCTGTCCACGTGCAGGAAAAGCTGATTTCAATGTCGCCGCCCAAGGTTCCCATGAACAGACATCGAAGAAAAGTCGTCCAAAAATCGACCCCAGACTAATGTTGACTATTTTTGAATGTTCCTCCTGTAGAGGGACAGGCCGGAGTTCACCTCGACATGCAGATGACGGACCCCGAGCGGCTCTCGGCGGTGGAGGTGCTGGTCGCGATACACACGGGGCACGACGTGCAGGCCTGGAAAGATCGAGCAGACTCCGATCGTGCTCGAGCCTGGCCCCCCGAGAACTGCGCCGGCATGCCGCGCCATCCAGTCGTGGCGGAGATCGCGGCCGAGGGTATGGCTGGGAAGGTCAGAGTTCCAGTCACGCCTGCGCCCATCCCAGCTGTCCCACCATTCCTCCTCGCCTTGGTGCCCACCGCGACAACGGAGAGCAAGTGGTCCGACACCGCCATCAGCACGCGCGCGGGCCCGTCCACCTTCGCCCCGATGCTGTCAATCACTTTCTTCGGGCTCACCATCCGCGTGATACGGCCCTTGGGTTGTGCTAGAATCAAGTCGGGCCTGTGTTCCTACAGGGGGATTTTTGACGAATAATAGAAAATAGCAATACAAAAAACACGGCAGGGCCAAAAAATACTAAACACATCGTCCACTGACTAGTTTGACTATTTTTGAATATCCCTCCCGTAGAGGGACAGGCCCGACCTGATGCTAGAAGTCATGAAACGTGGGCGCCGAACAACTGCCAACGGCACGGTCGGCGCAGGCCGGAGGGATGCCGTGAGCGGCCGCCAGATGCTCGGGATGTGGTGTGGTGGGGTATTCACGGAAGTACCAGGGCTGAACCAAATCGGTGTTTGCCGTTTTCGTTTCGTTTTCGTTCTCCCTTGCTGTTGTCTCGAACCCGCGTTTACCGCAAAACGAAGTCGAACCGAAAACGGCCCACGAAATCACCAAAAACACCGTTTAGGTCCATCCCTGGGAAGTACCATATTGAGAGTGGTGGCGAGGCGGCTGCTCAACTCAGAGCTGCCGGATGGATGCCGAAATCCAGGAGCACTGGGCTGGGGCCAGAAGCTCTGGCAGTGCGTGCAGCGGCCAAACGGGCGCGACTCTTGTTGGGGCTCAGGGCTTCCGAACAGAAATCGTTGCGTCATATTCACCTGTCGGGGGTCGGATGTGCGAGGTAGAGCCCAAGCACTACAAGAAACTCGCCACGCGCATTGAGATGGCGACGGCGCACATCGGAAAGATTGGGTGTCCTGCTTCGGTATTCGCTGGTCTACAGGTGGATGCGCAAGAGATGTTGAAGGCTGGCATCGGGGCAAGCTCGCACGGGACAGCCCCCCCAGAAAAGGAGCAACCAGAGCTGGCAAAATGTCAGAAGCTCAAGGCGATACAGACGGTTCTTTCATGTTGACAGGATCGGGCCAGTCGCGCATCTCCATGTCAACTTCGTGATTGAGAGATGGCACCTTGGGTTTCAACTTGAAAGTGTCATGGCCAGCAGCGGCGTAAAGTTCCTGGTGATGCGCCGTCGTGGCAAGTCCCCCCCCCTCCCATGACAATTCAGATGATGAAACAAGCGTTGGCGTCTTTCTCTTCTGAGACCGCTATTGGGCCAGGAATGATTGGGGGTGCGCGCGTTGATTCCCAGTCATGGGCATCACTGAGTGCCGCGGTGGGTGGTGAGTGGTTGGGAGCTGCTTACATATGTTCATCTTGCCTTCTTTGAATCATCGAGCTCGACGTAGGGCGTATTGCTTGTGCGTGTGATGCAGAAGCTCAAGCAGCGACGTCAAGGGCCACTGGTGGCTCTCAGTGCTGCTGAAGGGCCTGGGCAGGACACGATTTCATCGGGTCCCGTTCGTCCCCACGGCCTAGACAATGACATCGCTGACTGCCGAGGTCGGTGGTGATCGGTTGGGCCCATGCTTCCATACTTGCTGGTGCGCGATTTTGCCTCGTCGAATGTGTCGTGAGGCTCCCAGTGTGTCATAGCGGAGCTGGAACTTCAAAACAGGGGAGCTGCGAACGTAGGAGGAAAAGGAGGAGGAGGAGGAAGTGGAGGAGGAGGGGGAGGACTAGAGGGAATGGGATGGGGAGCAGCAGCGCCACGGGGAGTCGGAGGAGGGGACTGGAGGGAGGCGGCAAACTTTGGAACGACTCGGAACCAGAAGTCTGGCCCGCGATGGGGCGACACCACCAGTCTGAATCGTGGGCGCGCAAACATGGATCAGCTATCCATGGATTCGGCGCGCGGTCGCCAAATCCATGGATCGGGGGAGGTGCCCTCCCCCGACATGCGGCCGGTGCCGCTTCGCTCGGCGGCGGAAATTCGACATTTACCCATGGAAACGGGCCTCTTCGCAAATCCACGCCCCCTTCTTATACATGTTTGCGATCGTATGACTGAAGGACGGGGGCAAAGCCCCGACCCTAACATGAGACCCACACCGCAGCGCGAACACCATTCTGGAAGGACGGAATTTTTCGGACTGGAAACAAGCACACAAGAACAACATCTCCGCACCATCCTGTGTAAAAGCAATACGCGGAAGGAGGCGTGCTAGTCCCTGGACATATCCGGAGGGGAGAGGAGAGTAGCATTCATGTGGTAACCGCGGGATCTGTCGAACCGCATCGGTGACGTACCCCACCCGAAAAAGAGAGGGGGCGGACTGACTCGGGGGGAGGAATGACTCGTGGAACACCGCCGATGGATCGGCCATGGGACCTCGACGGAAGCAAAACCGCGCGTTCCTGGGCGGATCGGGGCATCCGGGCACCTGTTGTGGCGATGGGTGGGCGCTTGCGGTCGATGCCTTCTCCTCCCCCCCGGACCAACTCGTTCCCTGTTCCCCCCCCGCGCGGGGGTAAAACGCCGACCCCTGAGGGAGGACGGATGGGGGGGGGGAGGGAGCGAGTTTCGAGGTGGACCC